AATTTTACACACTGATGACAAACTTATCTACCCTCAGATAGGAACCCCGCTGTCAAACTGACACGGAATCCAGAGTACAAGGTGATGTTCACGAGGGAGTCGGTCAGCTTCAACTGTTTCATTGATCTCTCCTCTGGATGGGAGTACCTGTGGTACAAAGACAGCACACAAATAAATGCCGCATCTGTAAACATGTATCAAATCAGCACTGTTGGAACATCGGATACGGGATTATATAAATGCCAAGCAAAAAGAGGAAGCAATCAGTTCTTCAAAACAGAATCTAGTCAGAGTATACACCTTGAAGTTCAAGGTAAGTTTGACTTCTACTAAATTTTTATTTGTAGCATGATTGAGTTTTCCAGCTGTGCTTCTGCTCAGTTATGCTGCTGTTATCTGGTCAGATATTTTGTGAACAGTCCAAAGCTGGTTGTATGACAAAATACACACATATTTCTTTTGCTTTTGAGTTTAGCAAAAAAAAAAAAGCCTAAAACCCTGATGACTCAACAGCCTGACACTGAAAAGGTGTACACTGTCGAGTCAGTGTCCTGAAATCTCATCTGGATGGAAGTATCAGTGGTACAAAGATAAAGCACTGCTACATAACCATGGCAATCGTTCAGTCATCCATAGTGCCAGATTTATAAGAAATGGGAGTTACAAGTGCATTGCATCAAGGGACAAAGCCATGTACAATACAGAGCGTAGCGATAGATTTATTAATAGCAGTAGTTCTGTCTTATCTTTGTTTATGGACTTCACACTATGCTAAAAATCAACTACAATCTGCCTAGGATATTAAAGATGGCTAATGTGTCTGTCTTTAGAGACCCCTGTTCCATCTTTGGAGCAAAGCACTCAGTGGCTGGATGTGTTCCCCCATGAGCCTGTGAATCTGACCTGTGGGATAAAAGGCAGTTCTGACTGGATGTATACATGGTACAAAGATGGACAGCAGATCCAGGCTGATAAAACTGTGTCTTTTGACCTGGATAAAACTAGCCTTTCCATCAGTTCCGCTTCACCTTCACATCGTGGACAATACAGCTGCAGAGGCCAACTCAAGAGGAGTTCTGTCATCAGCAAAGTCAGTCTTGGGCTAACGCTTGATGTTTATGGTGAGATTGTCTTCTTTTTTTGACAGTTTTTAGAGGATATTTTAAATGTGTCCCCTCATTTTTATTCTCATTCATTTTAAAGGACATTTTGGGAAATCCACTTATTTGATTTTTTGCCAAGATATCTTAACAGCTATATTTATCTTGTCAAATAAGAAACTACAGCCAGTAAATGATTAGTGTTGCTTAGCTTCAAGACAGAAGGCAGGGTTTTGTCTGGATAAAACATCTTAGTGATTGAACCTTAAAGGTGCTTGTAGGGGGATTTTTTTAAACCTTTGGACACAGCCAGTTTTTCAATTTTAGGTACAATTAAGTCTATTTTTGGGGATTAGGCCAACAGGTTGGGGTATGATTAGTTCAAGGCGCATCTGGCAACTTCTTTTCACACTGGATAGGTGGAATTGGAAAGTATAATTTTACACACTGATGACAAACTTATCTACCCTCAGATAGGAACCCCGCTGTCAAACTGACACGGAATCCAGAGTACAAGGTGATGTTCACGAGGGAGTCGGTCAGCTTCAACTGTTTCATTGATCTCTCCTCTGGATGGGAGTACCTGTGGTACAAAGACAGCACACAAATAAATGCCGCATCTGTAAACATGTATCAAATCAGCACTGTTGGAACATCGGATACGGGATTATATAAATGCCAAGCAAAAAGAGGCAGCAATCAGTTCTTCAAAACAGAATCTAGTCAGAGTATACCCCTTGAAGTTCAAGGTAAGTTTGACTTCTACTAAATTTTTATTTGTAGCATGATTGAGTTTTCCAGCTGTGCTTCTGCTCAGTTATGCTGCTGTTATCTGGTCAGATATTTTGTGAACAGTCCAAAGCTGGTTGTATGACAAAATACACACATATTTCTTTTGCTTTTGAGTTTAGCAAAAAAAAAAAAGCCTAAAACCCTGATGACTCAACAGCCTGACACTGAAAAGGTGTACACTGTCGAGTCAGTGTCCTGAAATCTCATCTGGATAGAAGTATCAGTGGTACAAAGATAAAGCACTGCTACGTAACCATGGCAATCGTTCAGTCATCCATAGTGCCAGATTTATAAGAAATGGGAGTTACAAGTGCATTGCATCAAGGGACAAAGCCATGTAGAATACAGAGCGTAGCGATAGATTTATTAATAGCAGTAGTTCTGTCTTATCTTTGTTTATGGACTTCACACTATGCTAAAAATCAACTACAATCTGCCTAGGATATTAAGTCCAGAGTCAAAACAAACTTGAGCAGTATCTCCTCCTCTTCTCCCATTGCCCCTCCTGCCCTGTCTGTGAAACAACATCATCTGTGGTCACGACAGCCAGAGTCACTTCTGGCAGTCAGGTAGCTCAGCAGTAATAACCGGCTCCAGAACTAATGTATATGAAATATAGAACCCGTGGTTTTCAGTGACATTGCGGTGACACAATGTCAAATAAAGAGTTTTACATTTTAGTAATATCCATACACATGTCTAATATTGTTTGGAGCAACTGTATCTGCAGTAGCACAAGCAAATATACAGTGGAACATTTTTTCCGTCTTTCTGATGGAAAATACACATGCGTGGCCACCAGAGGTGAATCAACATCAACCAACCACAGTGAGGAAATACTACAAGTGGTTTATGGTAGGCAAAATCTGCAAAGTAATATCAGTTAAACAGACATGAATGTGCAATTGTTTATTGTAAATGTGTGAAATTGTAATTGTTGATTAATGAAAATGACAATTTTGTGTTGTCTTGCAGTTAGCACTAATGCCTCGAAACCCTCAGTGAGAGCCTTTTGAGAGCATCACGCTTCCGTTATTTTATGCATTTTCTGTTGAAACAGGATGTTGTGGTATAGCATAATGCAGAGGTGGAGTATATGTATGTAGCAGTGGAATATATTTTTTCACACTATCTGTGCCACATAATGCGGCCTCTTGGGTCTAACAGCTCCACTCCCATCCTGGGTTGTATCTGCACGGGGAGCCTCCATGGTCTGTGTGTATATATTGCAACTATTATGCAACTGATCCCTTCTTCATGTTAATACTTGTTTAAAGCATAGTTTTTTTTTATTGTTTATTCTCTACACCGTGTGAGTCATGGATTATTGTGGTTTGGCCTGACAACATTGCACCTTGGATCCATAGGTTGACTAGTCTGTCCTCACCCATGAAGACTCCCTCCTCTTCCATTTTCATTGTGTTTATATCAGTTATGTATGATACAATCGAGTGCAGTCGTTATGCCATTGCTTGTGGCTACACCTATTCACTGCATAGTACAATTAGTGCAACAACCAGCACACATACTGTAGATGAAACAACTCATTGATTAATTAAACAAAAATTAATTATTTTGGCAATTGAGTAATGGTTTTTTTGTGTTCTTGTTGTATTCTTTATTCTGCTTCTTTCATTGGCTGTTGTATTTTCATTATGCTTCTCTAATTAGCTGTTTTATATTGTGTTCTTATATTTTTCATTATGCTTCTTACATAGGCTGTTTTACAGATTAGATTTAGATTAGATTTTGATTTTCAGATTTTAGATTTTGTGTTACCTATGTATCTGCATTATATTTCACTTATATTGTGTGGCATTTATGTGGACAGCAAAGTAAGAATTTCATTGTACAGGGAAACATGTTTCCTTACTGTGCATATGACAATAATCCCTTGACCTTAAGTCTTTTTTTTTTCTGGCTTAAAAAACAGATAATGCAAAAGCAGAAGGACAGTCACATCTAAAGTAATTAGCTGCACTTCTTTGTCATTTTAAAGTAAACTTAATATTTTTGTCCTTTAAAGTGTTTGACCAAAATAACCATTTGACATTTTAGAAAATTTTGATTTACTGTTTTGTTACATTTTATAGATGAAACAATTGATTATTCATGAAAATATATAACACATACAGTATATCACAGAAGTGAGTACACCCCCTCACATTTTGTAAATATTTAAGTACATTTTGTCATGTGATAACACTGAAGAAATGACACTTGGCTACAATGTAAAGTAGTGAGTCTACAGCTTGTATAACAGTGTAAATGTGCTGTCCCCTCAAAATAACGCAACACACAGCCATTAATGTCTAAACTGCTGGCAACAAAAGTGAGTACACCCCTAAGTGATAATGGCCAAATGGGGCCCAAGTAGCCGTTTTCCCTCCCTGGTGTCATGTGACTCGTTAGTGGTACAAGGTCTCAGGTGTGAAGGAGGAGCAGGTGTGTTAAATTTAGTGTTATCACTCTCACTCTCTCATACTAGTCACTGGAAGTTCAACATGGCACCTCATGGCAATGAACTCTCTGAGGATCTGAAAAAACGAATTGTTGCTCTACATAAAGATGGCCTAGGCTATAAGAAGATTGCCAAGACCCTGAAACTGAGCTGCAGCACGGTGGCCAAGACCATACAGCGGTTTAACAGGACAGGTTCCACTCAGAACAGGCCTCGCTGTGGTCGACCAAGGAAGTTGTGTGCCCGTGCTCAGCGTCATATCCAGAGGATGGCTTTGGGAAATTAGAAATTCCCGTTCCATCTTTGAAGCAGAAAACCCAGTGGTTGGATGTGTTTCCCACAGAGAGTCTAATTTTAAGCTGTGAGATGGCTAACCACTCTGGCTGGACATATACATGGTACAAAGATGGTCCGAAGGTCCACGCTAATGACGCTTTGTCTTTTGACTCGAATGGAGCTACTCTTTCCATCAGGTCTGCCTCAACTAAAGATAAAGGAGGATATACCTGTGAGGGACACCTCAAGGACAGGCCTGTCACAAGCAGATCTACTTCTACACTTAGGGTCACAGTGTATGGTGAGTTTTATTAAATTTTCATTAAATAAAAATTTTGTGGGGACTCTATCTTAGGCAATGTTTTTCAATTTTAGGTACAATTAAGTCTATTTTTGGGGATTAGGCCAACAGGTTGGGGTATGATTAGTTCAAGGCGCATCTGGCAACTTCTTTTCACACTGGATAGGTGGAATTGGAAAGTATAATTTTACACACTGATGACAAACTTATCTACCCTCAGATAGGAACCCCGCTGTCAAACTGACACGGAATCCAGAGTACAAGGTGATGTTCACGGGGGAGTCGGTCAGCTTCAAATGTTCCATTGATCTGTCCTCTGGATGGGAGTACCTGTGGTACAAAGACAGCACACAAATAAATGCCGCATCTGTAAACATGTATCAAATCAGCACTGTTGGAACATCGGATACGGGATTATATAAATGCCAAGCAAAAAGAGGAAGCAATCAGTTCTTCAAAACAGAATCTAGTCAGAGTATACACCTTGAAGTTCAAGGTAAGTTTGACTTCTACTAAATTTTTATTTGTAGCATGATTGAGTTTTCCAGCTGTGCTTCTGCTCAGTTATGCTGCTGTTATCTGGTCAGATATTTTGTGAACAGTCCAAAGCTGGTTGTATGACAAAATACACACATATTTCTTTTGCTTTTGAGTTTAGCAAAAAAAAAAAAGCCTAAAACCCTGATGACTCAACAGCCTGACACTGAAAAGGTGTACACTGTCGAGTCAGTGTCCTGAAATCTCATCTGGATGGAAGTATCAGTGGTACAAAGATAAAGCACTGCTACATAACCATGGCAATCGTTCAGTCATCCATAGTGCCAGATTTATAAGAAATGGGAGTTACAAGTGCATTGCATCAAGGGACAAAGCCATGTACAATACAGAGCGTAGCGATAGATTTATTAATAGCAGTAGTTCTGTCTTATCTTTGTTTATGGACTTCACACTATGCTAAAAATCAACTACAATCTGCCTAGGATATTAAAGATGGCTAATGTGTCTGTCTTTAGAGACCCCTGTTCCATCTTTGGAGCAAAGCACTCAGTGGCTGGATGTGTTCCCCCATGAGCCTGTGAATCTGACCTGTGGGATAAAAGGCAGTTCTGACTGGATGTATACATGGTACAAAGATGGACAGCAGATCCAGGCTGATAAAACTGTGTCTTTTGACCTGGATAAAACTAGCCTTTCCATCAGTTCCGCTTCACCTTCACATCGTGGACAATACAGCTGCAGAGGCCAACTCAAGAGGAGTTCTGTCATCAGCAAAGTCAGTCTTGGGCTAACGCTTGATGTTTATGGTGAGATTGTCTTCTTTTTTGACAGTTTTTAGAGGATATTTTAAATGTGTCCCCTCATTTTTATTCTCATTCATTTTAAAGGACATTTTGGGAAATCCACTTATTTGATTTTTTGCCAAGATATCTTAACAGCTATATTTATCTTGTCAAATAAGAAACTACAGCCAGTAAATGATTAGTGTTGCTTAGCTTCAAGACAGAAGGCAGGGTTTTGTCTGGATAAAACATCTTAGTGATTGAACCTTAAAGGTGCTTGTAGGGGGATTTTTTTAAACCTTTGGACACAGCCAGTTTAGCCATTTCCCCCTTCTTCCAGTCTTAGTGCTAAGCTAACCATTTCTTTGCTATAAGTTATTTAGTATCTCATTTATTTAAGTCAGGGGTGGTCAATCCTAGTCTGGTGGCAGCCCTCGAGGACCGGGAATGCCCACCCCTGCTTTAAGTAAACTGTAAAAAAAAGAGCACAAAGTTGTTTTTATCCTTGAGAAATACTTCATTCTGGTAAGGAAGTAGAATTATAGTGCACATCACAATAGCAATTTAAAGCATCTAGTAATTGGTCAGCTTCTCCTTGCACTGGACTGTTTAGCCTGATATACATTAAAATACTGTTGTACTAATAGCAGTGGGATTTTTATCACCCCTCAGATGCGGAGCCTACAGTCACACTGATACAGACTCCTGAGCATAGGTTGATGCACACTGGAGATTCAGTCTCCTTCAGCTGTCACATTAATGTCTCTTCTGGATGGGAATACCTGTGGTACAAAAATGGCACTCGTCTCCCTGTATCAGGAAGCAATCATACCATCAGTCCTGTTAAGACAGCAGACACTGGCTCATATACATGCAGTGGTAAAAGAGGAAGGAATGCAGACTTCAGCTCAAACCACAGTCTAGGTTTAGGACTTGACATAGAAGGTAAGTTTCAACTATCTTCCTCTTTGCATTTTTCCCTGTGTAAACATGGTGAATATCTTTATCACTGTTTTGACTGTGTTTGCTGCAGAACGCCCACAGGCTAATATAGATCTGTTAACTGGCTGGTCAGAGGTCTTCTCCACTGATAGCTTGGTGCTCAGATGTCAGGTGCAGAAAAGCCAAGACATGTGGAACTACACATGGTAATACACATCAAAAACACCCAGTATAAAAAAGTATTCTGACTGTATTTGCATGTGCACTGTGTGGATTCTCAGCTTTCTGAAAATTCAAACATACAACAATTAAACAGGTTCAAAGAGGGACAACCAATCACACTACCACCTTCTGAAAAATATATAGTCACACCCCAGAATGACCCAGAACAGAGCTTGTACACCTGCCAGGGTATTCGCACTGGAAGACCATCTTATTCAAAACCCAGTGATACTTTCAAGACTAAGAACCTTCGTGAGTATAATGAAGTCTGGAAAAAAATGTTTCTGTGCAAGTATTCTCTCGTGCTCATTCTCTGTTTTTACTTTTAATTTGTAGTTGTGAAGAGGAGGGTGCTTCTTTCCATCTCTGGCTTTATCTTCTTTGCCATCATCGCTGTCATCATTGGGTTCACTGTCCTCAGAGTCATTCGCAAACCAGGTATTACTTTAGTTTGGGTTAGTTTTTTGATTTGCATGGATTCTAAACAGTTGATAATCAAAGCAGCAATGTATCACATAACAATGTGAAAACAAAAATGATCAACTTAATCAGCAGCTGATCTTGGATCTGTTGGGCTTTATAGGAAGTTTGAGCCCATTCTTTGACTTTCCAGTCACCAGCTTTACTGTTTTGGTTCAGTCTCAGTGACAGACACAGTTAATATGGAAGCAGATTAGGGTCACTGTAAAAAGGTTCTGACTTAAACTCAGAATTATGATTTTTTCTTTTATAATCAGAATTCTAAGTTTAAAATCAGAATGGACATCCTGTGACAAGACATCTTGACTGCTTCATAATATATCTTTATTCTTGAAATAACAAATAATAAAAGCCACAAAGAGGTGACCTACTATATGTTCTAATCATACAGTAGAAGATGACGGCAGACCAGAAGAGGCCAACCTGTTTCTCACAAATGCTGAACTGAGGAACCGTTTCGGTATGTTGATCTCACCTCTTGTGGTTTTGTCATTACTATATGTGCTGCACCAATGATTCATTTCTGAACTATCTTTGAATTTACTATTTATGAAACAACCAAATGACTTTTTAAAGTCTTGGCCTCCTTCCTAACTGAACTTCAGCTGTTGGTGCTCTTGTGATAAAGTTCCTTCCCTCTCTCCTGCAGATGTACCCTGTCCAATGGTTGAGTACATCACAGATGCAGAACTGAATGCACCAGCTAAAGGTAAAGAACTGTTAGGGCTGCAACTAAATTTTGTTTCCATTATTGATATGTCTGTATTGTTTGGTCTATAAAACATAAAATAGAAAAAAGTCCATCCCAATTTCCCAGAACCAAAGGATGAGTCCTTCAGATGTTTTGTTATGTTTGACCAACAGTCCATAACCCAAATAACGTATGACAGCCAGCAAATACCATAAAATCCGGACTATAAACCGCTACTTTTTTCACACGCTTTGAACCTTGCGGCTTAAACAATGATGTGCTAATTTATGGATTTTTACGGGCTAACGAGCTTCATGCCGCCAATACATTTAGCCTCGTCACATCAGACCAATGAAATTACCGAACAGGTCACAGTGGACCAATGAAACAGTTCGAATTAAATCAAATGCACTCACACTAAATTCTTCAGATCAGTCATTTTGCGCTTCATGCACACACCCTCATCATGGAAAACGCATGAAGAAATGCATATGATGCAGCTTTCAAGTTAAAGGTGATCGATCTGGCTGTCGAAGAAGGAAATAGAGCTGCTGCACATAAGCTTGGCATCAATGAATCGATGGTGAGACGTTGAAGATGGCAGTCTGAAGAGCTAACTCAATCCAAAAAGACAAAAGCTGTGTAAAATCTTTGTATAAATATCTCATGTTACAACGCAGACACCTGCGGCTTATAGACAAGTGCGGCCTATATATGTACAATTTTTTTTTTCTTTTTGTGGGTGTGGCTTATAGTCAGGTGCACTCAATAGTCTGGATTTTACAGTAGTCACATATAACAGGCTTTAAGCAGGAAAATTATTATTTTTTGCTTAACAAGTATTTGATTATCATAATGGATGCAGATCCATTTACTTTCAATGATAAATTAGCTTTTTTCATCTCTATTACTATATCCATTTTCTGAAGGTTCTCTATTTATCCATGACTGACAGTTTTTGTTTGCTTTTTTAAAAACAATCTGACCTACAGAAGAGGGTGAAAATGGCATGCTCTGCAGTGAAACAACACCACTACCCATAACCTCGCCAGACAACGAAGGTAATCAAGTTAAATTGCAAATGTAATTTTCTGACAAAACATCTTCTCCATAGCTGAGACATAATGCATTACTGATTTATCTTTCCACATATTGCTCTTAATGTCTTTCTAGCTGTGACAACTGAGAACCATGATAAAGAGGAAAACAACGGTGGACTGGTTTCTTTTAAACAATAAGGCACTGAAGACTGTATTTACATCACTTAATAGTCATAATGTAGAAAAAAAAATGGGTGTAGGAAAACTGGAGAGACAACCTCACCATTTTGCAATTGTTTTAAAAGTTTGGGCCTAAAAGGCACTTCATGCTTTGTGCATCCACATGTCCACTAAGGTTGGGTGGAGTAGTTTTCAACATCTTCCCAGGTTCACCAGGGTGTTCATACAGACCCTAGCGGACCTGGGAAGATGTTGAAAATTTTGTCACCCGACCTTAGCGGACATGCAGACACACAAAGCATGAGGTACCTCTAAGAGTGGGACCAGAGGGAAGGCAAACCTCTGTACGGTGGCCATCATAGGACATCTAAGACTGTTTGTTTGGCTCAGCTCTACTTAGACTGTCAGCCTCAGCTGTGCTTTGACCTGAACAGTAATGTTCTGAGGCTCTCTGCTAACATTAGTCTTACAGGATTGTATGAGCTTTGAAGGTTGAATTCTGGAGAGTAGACAGACCAACATTTCATTTAACTGTACAGAACTGTTCTCCACATATCACCTACTTACACGGTACTGGTGGCAACTATACTTTTTTTTTTTAATTACTTCTACATCATTGTATTGATTAATTGACTGAATGAAATATTAAGTTACAGTATAAGCATTAGTCATGTTAGCTTTTGATTATTGTATATATGCACTGTATGCATGAATGTTTCAATTCTTAAAACACACACCATATGTCAGTAGATATGTCGAACTTCTCTAAAGTTTATTGTGTGGATGCTGAGTTAGTTATATTTTCTGATTTCTTCCCTGCGTTTTTTGGCACTTAATAACTCCAGCATACTTTCAGCTAGAAAAACCATTCAAATGTAAAAATGTTCAGCCTTTTAAGGACGTGTGTTTATATTTTTTGTTTTTGTAACATTTATACTTTTTAATATATTCAGCATTTTTCAACATTTATTTATAATGGTAGTCAATGGGAGGCTGGTATGGCAGGTTGGGGGTCGATTCTCTCTTGGGGCATGATAGATTGTTTTGTGAGTATGATTTAGATGCCTTTGCAATCTTATTAACCAATAGCAGACCCAGTAAAAGTATGAAATGCATGTCTATCCAATGGCTGGATAGCTTGGTGGTTAACGCTACTGACTGTGGTATGATAGGTCGGGGTTTGATTCTCTGTCAGGGCATGTGGGAGGGAAGGGAAGGTAGAAAGAGAAGGTAGACAGTAGCTCTCTCTATCTCCCCTCCCACCTTACCTCATCTCTATCTTCCCTCCCACGATCTATCATGCTTTGACAGAGAATTGAATCCTGGCCTGCCGTACCACAGTCAGTGGCATTAACCACCAAACTATCCAGCTCCTGGAGAGAGACACATTTAGAACTTTTACTGGTTTCTGCTATTGGTTAACGCAGCTTAGCAAGGAAAAAGGGGTGAGGCACACATTTTAATTGCTTAAAACAGAAACATTAAAATTAACATGGTACCACACAAACGGTCACACAGTAACACACACACACACACACACACACAAAATCACAAACACCCAAACAGGTACAGTAGCACAGTGACACACCCATACACACATACACACACACACACACAGGTTTGTCTGCCTTTAAAATATATATCTGTCAGATGTCAGTAAAAATTATTATTTTAGAACTTTAAGCCATGTAATTTCTACCTCTCACTTTGGGATTAAGCCGTCCACTAGGAATGCTCTCAAGCTCTCACCTTCTTCAGATAATGAAGTTAAATTCCCAACTTCAGTTTATCAATTCGTATTCCAAATATTATTCAGCATTGCATCACAGCCTTCAGCTATTTCAGCAATGGATTTTAGCATTTTCAGGGCAATTCTTCAGCAATCAGCATCCACACGCAATTTCTTCAGGAAATGCATTTGTCTACTTTAATGTTGAAAATGGTTCAGCAATGAATGTTATTGCTTTGTATTTTAAATGATAAATTGTATATTTATCAAGCATTTTTGTCTTCCTATGAAATTATCAAAATAAAAAATATATGTTACCATGGGTGTTCATTCCAACTAATACTGAAATGCACCATCAGATGTGGCTGCAAAAACACATTCAACCAGTGGAAATTTCACAAGTAGGCCAATGTGTGGTTCAGTCAGTGGGGGGGCATCTTGTGCAGCTGTAACAGTGAGAAGATAGCACAAAACAAAGTGATTATCCAGACAAACCCTAAATGTTTTTCACTGACAGAGCATTTAAACTCACTGCAAACGCAACACTTACCGACTCACATCTACTTGAGGATATCAGCCAGTTTCTCCACATAGTAATCATAGTTCTCTTGACAATCCTCCCAGGGTGTAAAGCTCTGGTCTTCCTTTTCCACATATGTCTCCCAAACATGCACGAAGTCAGATGGCTTCATCATCCGCAGTTTGCAGCCAGCACTCGCCAGAGTGCGGAGCCCTTCTGCTATCTCCGGCTCCTCCCACTCAAGGAGACGAGAGCAGAATATGCAGAGACTAAGCTTTTTGCGCTCGTGGAGGATGTTGGTCAGCTTGGCTGCACAAGACGCACAGGGACTGCTTGATACATACCAGGTGACATCACAATCTTGGGAATAGTTAGGAAGAATCTGCAAAACAAAGAGTGGGGATTTTTTTGAAGGAATTAAAGAGTAAAATTGTGTTAGCTAAGAGCATTGCAGATTACATTACAATTACAAAATAAATGTAATTAATCGGTAGTTACTAATCAAATGTTGGTGATTACAGAGGGGTTACATTCAAATATGTTCTTAATAGTAAAAAGCGAGTATAACATTCAGACAATGCAGGCCTACAAAGCAACTAGGCCAAATATCATCATCATGGACAGTAAAGGTGTGGCGATACACTTAGCTCAACAGACGGGACGATATTTTAATACTATTTTTAAGAAATCTTCAGTGATGAAGTATATGACTGGAAAAAGTGCATTTTGAAAAACTAAAAGACAAGAATATGCAAGCACTGTAAAAGGTTTTGCCACAAACAACTGACTGTCCTGTATGATTTCACGAGTCTATTCAGCCCTTATAACTGTGCATGAACTATGCATGTGCTTCTAACCTTTTGACCCACACCACATCGCGCCAGACAGTGACATCATCCGGCACTGCATTGACCAATCACAAGACTCTTTTGTTTACCATGTCAGCATGAACATTCACTGCTATTCACTGTCGGGTTTGGGCCACAATTAACACGCCATAATGACACGCCATGGATATGCATTAGTACCAGATGTTAAACGGCATTTTTTTTAAATCCATCTATGTAGACACTGGTGATAGAATTGGTGCTAAGGTAGAGTAAGCTACGTTAACAGAATGGCTAACTACAACAACACAGCACTGTGCATCAAAACACAGCAGGGAGTTGCATTTTTTCCTGGAATGTGAATGTACCATCACGCTCCATCGCACTGGCTGCTGTTCCAGTTCTGTTCCATACTGATATCGTGACAGCTTTTGCCTCAACGAGAAATATCATCATATATTAATATCAAGATATCGTGTTGCAGATCTCTTCACACCCCTAACTGGCAGGAAGGCCAACAAAGACCTGTCTCTATGCCTAGATAGACTGCCTTCATTTGGCAGCATATGTTAAATTTTGAAATTTGAGTTTGATTGCTTCTCGTTTGACTTTACACTACCTCTCATATGCAAGTCAACGCACATTGCTCTAAGCAGACTGGCTGCAACCAGCCAACAACGCCAAGGTAGATGGTCATGTCGTCAGACAAGAACACTTCTCAGTGCTGGAAATTCAACAGTATTTTCCTTCTGAAATCAGAAAAGGGTTTGCTTGGTGCCCAATCAGCAGGCTACATGTGTCAGCGGTAATATGTAACTGATATTATGTTGAGAAACCTTTAATAAAGGTTTGACAGTAATAAGTACTTGTTAGGTTTAAATTTATGTTAGGACTTTTCAGCTTCATTGCCCAGTTTAAAACATTATTAGAAAAGTAATGTTACATTACTTTGATAGAGTAATTAAGATTGTTACTTATTACATTTTTACAGGTTAAGTAGTAATCTGTAACCTATTACATTTTAAAAGTAACCTTCCCAACACTGATGATTCTACAATAAAAACAGATGAGTGTGAGCATTACCTTTTGAAAGAAGGCCTCTTCAGCATGAGCTGTGGCATGCTCATCTTCTATGTAACCTGTCAGAGGCTCTGTGCTGCCTCCTGCTGTATCCACTCTGAAGCACAGCAGGGTTTTGTTCCTCCCTGAGGAGTACTCCACATTCCTGAACTGAAACTTGAAGTAGAATGGAGTCATCTGTTCCCTGGTGGAGGATGAATGAGACTTTTCATAAATCTAATATTAAGTAGCCTGTTTTCTTTTCAGCCAACATGAAAGCAAGCATTTCACAAAACACTCACAGGTTAAATTAGCATGACTAAGTGGGAAAAAAAAACCAAATCAGCATAATGTAACTATCAACAGTGCTTTCAAATTAATTTGTTGCTGTTCATCAACGTGCATGACCATGCAACCAGAAGTGGCTAACCAGGCAAAAGGCATTTACTTCGTTGCTTAAGACAGTGGCTCACTCAATTTTTTATGAATGTGTAAACAATCCAAGACAGTAAGATGATGATAGTGAGGCCTTGACATAGACTATGATGACACATTAAATAGAATATTAATGAAGCTACCACAAAGTGATATTTGGCTGTCATGCCCTTCATGATTCAGTTACTGTAAAATACATACTCCCTCTGGCTTTCTTTATGAATATATTGTACATGAATAGCCAGATGAATTACACAAATAATCTCTTATAGCTTTGATATCAAACAGCTAATAGCCAAAGGACAGAGAGCAGGGAATAGAAGCTAGGCGGAGTGATACAGCAGGGGTTGGTCTCTGTGCTGGCTCTGTGACTCATCTCTATTCTTACTGCTGGGTTAGTATGGATGCCAGGTGCAAGTCATTAATATCCTCCATAGAAAGTAAGTAAAGAATATGATTTAGCAGCAATATGACTTCAAAACATGAATAACTGTTTCAAATACAAAAAAATAAATAAACCAAAAAGTGGATGTGTTAAAGAGCAAAACAGGTGTGTAAATAGTACATGCTGACTCTAATGCTTGTGATGAATACATTAAATATTACCTACCCTGTGATGATCTCAAAGGGTGGCAGCTCTATGGGCTGAAACTCTCCATTTTCATCCTTGTTCACTTCTTCTGCTGCTGCTGCTGTTGCCCCTTCACTTTCCTCATTCTTCTTCTCTTCATCCTTCTCGGGCTGCTCGGGGGTCTTCTCTGGTTTCTTCACATTTTTGTCAGGCTTTTTCACCATTTTCTCTTTCCCCTTTTCCGCCTCATCATTTGTTTTGCTTTCCACCTTCTTCTCTTTCCTCTTAACACTGATCCGGCTGTTTTTGTCAGCCATGATTTTGTGAGAGTGGCTGAGCAAGACAGAGTCGGTGTAAGAGAGGTGAAAACTCTAGTATATTTACAGAAACAGATGCTATTGGGTCCAGCGGCTGGAGTCACAACACATACAGTATGGCTGGGGTAAGGGTAAGTGGCTCAGTTGACTCACTCCCCTTTTTCCATGTCCTTGCTATTAAAAGGCCAAAGCACAACACAAGATTGAGCACCAATGTGCTGCATAAACCTAGCCAAAAAAGGACTTACATTTCTTCCAACAACAATTTATGCTAAATCAAGAAATTAAAATACCATATTCTATGCATAAAAGTACAACCTCAAACACAACAAGTGGCAGCTCTTTAATCAATCAGCCTTTAACTGTCAACAGGCAAGTTATTAATAACAGTGTTTGGTTGTGTGTATCTATGTCTATGGGATAACCAGCGCTCTTCTGATACTGGACACCACTTTTGTATGTGCCAGTTCCTGCAGCCCATTAGGCCTTAGCACAATGCCAAGGCCAGCTAAAGGGCACCCTGATTAGGGGAAGATGGGAGCTGAGCAGCTCAAACAAACACAAACATTCAATGTGTAAGAACCGTGTTTGTCTTGGTGTTATGAATAAGAGTGCAGGAGTGCAGTGTGGCCCAGTGTGCACATGCCTGTGAACAATCAATCTATGAAATCATCCTGCATCAATATGGCCCTCTGCTGAGGCCACTGCATGGGGGAGGGGAAAATTGGTTTTGTAAGCATGTGTGCATTTTTGTGTGTACGAGTGTCTGTGTGGACAGAAAATGGCTTTCTGCACTGCAGATGTAATAACTTGAGGCATAAGGGAGCGAGCAGGAGGGAGGGGGCAGTTCAATTACAATTTCCTCCTCTCCCTCGGTTTCACTCTCTTGCCAAGTAATTCATTTCAGAGGCAATTACCAACAGGACCGCAGCCCAGCCGGCTTGTCTAACTCAAATGGATGAGCTGTCACAGCCAAAGGGGGTGGGGGTCGAGAGAGACGTGTCAAGCTGCTCCACATAAATTCACACACAAACAACAGCATGCTCATGGAGATGAGCAAAAACACACTTTTCAAAAATGAACACACTGACACACCCACGCAGATATCTAGCAAGACATCTAAATCCACAGAGACATCCTGGGGTGATAATCATTAAGAGCAGAGCATTTTTTGATAATGATGATCTATAAAGGACATCTCAGTGCATCTCACACCGATTAATGCACTTCCTCTGAAGCGGATTTGAGCAACAGCAAAAACAGTAACACTGGAACAAAGCTGTGTTGCCACTGTGAGAAAGAGGTAATCCTGGTGACAGGATTGAAAAAGTGAAAATGTGCTGATAATAAAAATGAAATCAAGACCTGCACTCTCACAGACCATTTGTGGAGCTATTAAGATATACTGTAAATAAATTAAGGTATAAAAACAGAGCTATAAAGCAGATTTCAACTTTTCTCCACTGGCAAAAAATGTGTAACATGCACACATGCATTAGTGCACACACCTGTGTGTCCCTATAATGAGACATATGTAGAGCGAAAAAAGAACAAGTGGCATATTGTTCAGCAGCTGACGCCTCCCTTTATAAATAAATCATTTAGTCACAACCTCTAGGGTGAGTGACAGTAAGTCGTATGCTACTGTATATGATACTTCACCGTTTCATTTTCAGTCGGTATATCAGTGTTGGCTGGTATTGACTTAGGGGTGTGGAAGATGGAGACTGAGGGCTTTGTCGTCTTGTGGTCGTCTGGAGAACCAGGCAAAATAATGTTAAATGCTTTAGTATTGACCTGCTTCTAGTCCCCTCAGTCCACAGTGTGTGGCATGATGGTGTGTAGGTTACATGGTAAACAGACAACTACTACTGTGGCCTAAAAACCCTTCTCAAGTATAGAAACAGAGCTTTGGCTATGGAATTCTGAATAATTCATTCCATCTCATATCAAATGATACAGTATGAAGACTATGGTACATTCCTAACTCGTTTCCTTATAGAGGTGAGTATCCACAAAGTAATATTACTGTAGGTATAAAGCCTGAAATGTCTGACTCTCAGCTCTAAGTCCATAATAATGTGTAGTTAGCTTTGAGGTAGATGAGAGTCTCCAGATTCTTTGGTAAGACGCGGCCTCTCTCCGGCCGCAGGCAGCGCCCAGCAGTAGTGAAAATACTCTCCACCACAGTGCCACAAGCAGGTATGGTAAATGCCTTCTTGGCCACCTGGGCAAGCAGAGGAAAGTCAATTGCTTTACGCTGCCAGTAATGCAAAGCCTCCTCATCCGTAGGTTCCTCTCGTAGATAGGCAGCCAGTTCCTGCTCTAAGCTCTTGGCCTGTGTTGTGGGTCTCTGCTTGATGAAAGAGAACAGCTTGCAGGGCCGAGAAAGTGAAGAGACTGGTGATGGTGCAGGAGCAGGAGGAGTGTGTGATTGAGAATGCAGGTCTGTGTTGGGCTCTCTGGGGTTAGAGGCTGTGGAATGTTTGGATAACTCCTCTAAAAGAATTTGTCTGTGCCAGTCAGGGTTGCTGCTCCAAGTGAGCTTGAACTGGGGGTCCAGGGTAGTGGCAGTGATGTAGAGAGGGTCCTCCAGGATAGGGGCCAGTCGGTGCTCTACAGCCTGGTTCAGAGCCACTAGGAGAGAGGGACAGTGAGGGGTTGACGTCTCAGAGAGATGCTTACGAAGACCCAGGACACACGGCAGAGCCAGGCTGATGGACGCGTGTCGTTCTGTCTGTGTGTCACCTGGTCTGTCCCCATGCACCATGTCCCAGGCTTCAGTGAAGGGCTCTAAAGTGTCAGTGAGCTCCCTCAGCAGGGCTCTTTCTGACACACCCAGCGCCAGCTCCCCTGGACCACTCATCTCCTCCAGGAACTCCACTGAGTCCAGTAGCCGCCGAAGCACCTGCATCAAAAAGGAAACAAAATAATAAACATTTTAACCTATGGAAACACACTCTTGATTTTGTTCTTGCATCAAAGTTACAATTTTTCTGTCACATAATACAAATACTTCCTCATCCAGATCTATTGTGAGGTACAGAAGGAATTAAGGTGTGTTAGATTAAATAAGCATTAGTGTAGCCTATAAATCACAAAGTGATAAAAGGCATACTTGTCAGATTACACGACTGTGTGTGTGTGTGTGTGTGTGCAATAAAGACGACAGGAATAAAAAGTCTCAAATAAAATGTCTATACATGGTGTGAAAGATTTATTCCAAATATCAGGTAAGATGTTTGATCAACTGAGAGATGGTGTGTGTGTGTGTGTGTGTGTGTGAGCTACTCCGAGAGCTACTTTGAAAAAATGAAAGCAGCTGAGTTGCTACTCATCTTTTATGTTAGGCTACTAGTTACATTTGATCACATTGTTTCATTCTTTGTGTAACCAGTTATCAAAAATATTAATATCCAACACCTTTTGAATCCGACCTGTCCAGGGTGTACCCCGCCTCTCGCCCAATGTCAGCTGGGAAGACATGCTAAACACTTTTTCATACACATTCTGAGGATATCATGATCTCAGATGTCTACTGCAAATAAATGTCCATAACCCTGCTTAGAAATGGTAGAAAATGACACTCCTTATAATGCCAGTATTTGACAGAGTATCAAACCAAAGCATTGACAATTGGCAGTACATCCAGTGGTGCGTAGCAAACAGCAACTGCTAATAGCAAATTTGATGTTGTGTTGCTTCATTGTAATGCAGCCTAAACATGCTGCAGGCCAGCACAACTAACTGAATCCATGGCAATGTACCTCCTGCGAGCTACTAAGAATCAGGTAGTGAGCTACTGGTACCTTGCAAGCAACATGTTGGAGACCCCTGGTCTAAAACACCTCAATGTGTGTTGCAATTTTTTAGAACAGCTGCTGAGAAATCTGCTGTTTTAGGCTGCAACAATCCTCCAGTGAAATCCTGGAGGGACTGGATAACACTATAGCATAGGTGTAATCATACAAAATGTCTTTAAAGTGTTGACATACATTTACAAAAAAACTTACTAGTGTTGTGAATAATTTAGTGTCTACATACTGCATACCTTAAGCTGAGAAGCCCAGTGTCTTGCTGCAAGAGAGGCGTTTCCTGGTCCGCCCATCATCAAACCAGGACCATCAAACACCTGGTTGAGTTTTTCAGGTGGGACAGCAGAGGTAATGTAGTTGTAGAAACAGGCCGCCTTTGCCAGTGCAGAAGAGAGCTGTGGACAGGAGCATAACCCCTCTCTGACACACTGTTCAAGAGACCGAGAGAAACAGTCCACCCGACAAACACCCAGACCCCGTTCCCACGAGTCTTCCCATTCTCTTTCATCTCCCCCATCACCATGGCCGTTCTTGATCCCTTCCTCCACATTGTTACCATTGCCCACTTCTTCTTCATCGTCTTCTTCTTGCATATTAGCAAGAGGAGATGAAACCAGGAAACCAGGAAGACAACATGGCTTTACTGTTGATGTTGCCAGGAAAGGGTCCGCCACAACACGAAATGCTCTCCCTGACACACCATGAGAGTGACATACTTCATCAAAATCTGACAGCACACGATTCCCAGAGCTGCCACCAGTCAGGGGAAGGCACGCCAGGAGAGCTGAATGCATCTGCCAGTCAGATGTAAGAAAATGGCAGGTGACACCGAGGTACCTGCAGAGAGGGAGAGAAGTGGGCTCATCAGTGAGGGAAACAAAACAAGTGGGAACTGTGTTGTTTTTGGTTTATTTTACCTCCTTACCCTGAAGTTGCTCCAGATAAACCCCTCCAGAGATCTAGGCTGAGGCTGAGGGTCTGTGCTGAGGCCAGGGCCTGACGGGTAGCCAGCTGGGCCTGGTAGGCATAGGCGGGGAGGAGCTGACTCTGGATGTAGTGCTGGGGCTCAGGAGTGTAACGTGGCTCCAGGAGCTGAAGCAGCTCTCTGAAGCCTTGATTTTCTACTATGGATACTGACTGCAGATCACGCACAATCATCTTAGCTATAGCCTCAGAGATCAAAACCTGTGGTAATAAAAAGCAGTGTGAATGTATGTCACTCATTATAGCAGATGGTTTCACTGCGATGCCACAGCAAATAATGTAATGGTTGATGTGGGATTTCATAAATAGCAGGACAGTTATTTGGACCTTAAGTGGTGATGGATTATAATGCACACCTGACGTGGGTCATGTCTGTCAAACTTGCTAACCCCTGCTCCAGAGCTTCCTCCTGCTCCTCCCTCTAGAGTTCCCGTTCCTCCAACACCTCCGCCTCCTCCCACTCCAGTACTGATGGGAAGAGTGTATCGATTATTCCCTCCGTTGGTGGTGAAAGTGTGCAGGGAACCGGTGGAGTACCCCTCTCTCTTCATGTCCTTCCTTTTCACAAAGTCATCATACATTGCCTGGTGTTTCCGCTGAATGGGAGAGAAACAGAAAGGGGCACAGCAATGCCACTGAATATTAAATTCACTGTTTGGGTGTAAACATGTCTGCACCACATTGTCTCTTCTAAATAACGGTAGAAGAAGATATAACAGCTTTTAAGTAAGTAGAGCCCCCCACCCCACCCCTTCACCACCACCAACACGCGCACACACACACACACACACACACACACACACAGAGTGAAGCAACAGCCTGTCATTACAGTCAGGTTCATAAAACTGACAATGAGTAACATGGGCTACATACAAATATACTGTAGAGCCTGCTGTTTCATCTCATGCTGACAAGACAGAGATTAAGTAGGCTTTAGATGAATCATCTCCTCATGTTAACAAGCTCACATAACATTTTATTTTGAAATAATTACCTTGAGATGTGTTACGAAGTTGGACGTGACACTCCGCTTCGCCTGGATTCTGGTGCCACAAGCCTTGCAGTTTGACTCGATTTTGCCATTCTCACCTTCAAACACAATATTAAAGTAATCTAGAATAGACACCTTCGAAACTGACGCCATTAGAGCCAACAGTTCGTGTGCTCCGGAGTAAAATTAACTTGCGATCAAGGGGCAATCTGAGTCTGAGGTATGAATTTCACCTCGCCTCTAATCATGAGCGCAGGCCAGCGTGTTTACTTCCCAATTCCTGATCAACAAATGTTGCTGCCAGTTGCGCAGACAAAAGAATTTCAGGCAGGAGTAGCGTCGCTTGAACGTCCGAAGACGGCCACAGTCAGGCTACAAAGGCTGCTGCGGATGTCCGCATACATCAATAATATGATAGTGAGGGTACAAGCGTTGTTTCTGCGCACACAGCTGTCGATTAGACGCAGGTGAAGGGGAGGAAGA